AAATCGAAACACATAGACATTTCAATAGTAGTTAAATTATTAAAATGCTTTTATCCAGCCATGGCCATTTCATGCCAACACGTTTTTGTAATAAATACTAGTAAGTTTTTTAGACTGATTTCTCTTTTCTTTTATTCCCAAGTTGTAATGTTTGAATAATATTCGATTTATCCGCTAGAGGATTAAATCTTTTATTCAAATCTTACAACTTAACAATTTTTATTATAACACCCCAGTAGGGCCTCAAAAAGAGTTGTCAGGGGAGACAACTTACACTTGAATATGTCATATATAAGGCAGAGCAAATTCTGGGAACGGTCTTTCAATCGTGGCTCACCATAGAAGAGGTAGACTAGTTTATCTTCGTTTAAAAAATCTAAAATTTACATTTCAAATCTTGAATCCCACCACAAACCCACCCGTTCAATTTCATTTTTTTTCCTTGTTTTTGCTTTCTTCCCTTTTATATTTTCAGATAACACTATATAGCACGTCATGGCTGGAACAGAAAGATATAGAAAGAAGGAGAATGCTTATAATTCTCAGCGACCGTTATCGGAGCTGATCAATTTGTAAAACAGACATGTAAAGTGATTTCATCATCTGTACCTGTGTACCTTGAGTTGAAGCATGTGCTACCACGTTTTTGCAACCGTTGCCGGGGCAAAAACAGTTATAGTAAAGACATTTAGTAGTCTTAAATCGAAACACATAGACATTTCAATAGGTTAAATTATTAAAATGCTTTTATCCAGCCATGGCCATTTTCATGCCAACACGTTTTTGTTAATAAATACTAGTAAGTTTTTTAGACTGATTTCTCTTTTCTTTTATTCCCAAGATGTAATGTTTGAATAATATAGATTATATATCTGCTTTTGTTTATAGTTTACAATTTTACGTGTTCCTTGTCATGAAGAGTATTTATATTCAGGTGAGCAATATTAGGGCCATCATTTGAACCAATCAACAGAAATTATGTCATCATTAGATTTTGGTCATTGTCTAAAAATGGCTTGTTCCAATTTTACATTTTGTAGGTCACTAAGGTCAAGGTCAACAAGGCTAGATTGCTTATACATGATCACCTTGTATGAACCTCTACAATTTGTTTTTGCCATCAAGTGTATTACATGGGAGGGTTTATGTATCTTTTTGTGCATTTACGTCTGCAGAAGCAAAAGGGCAAAATGAAAGCCCAAGCCCGTAGGTGTATTCTGTAGTTATTAATGTGCTGAAACAGGTTTATTGGCGCTATTCTTGCATGCAATTATCGCCTAAATCGGTAGTTCCGCATTCATGTCTTCGTAATTATGATTGAAGGTCACTGTCCAAGATCCACAAAGCTAGCATAGGTTTTATTTGAAATATGAAGCTTTGTGAACTTACAAAATTCCTTTGACAACTTTTAAGTAATTTTTCTCAAATGAAATTTACCCCTACACGCTCTTGATTTACTAAAAAGCTCTGAGACAAGTTGGTCTCACTGCCTTATTAACAGCTCTTGTTTACCTTAAAAATAGTGTTACGCCTAGAAAGAACTGACAATTTTATTGGCAATGTTAACGTTATAGTACTAGTAACTGTTGTTTTACTTTAGGCAAAATGCGCAACTTATGGGTCTAAGGTCAGAGGTAAGCAAATAAGGACCCCCAAGTTTGAGCTAGTTTGAAGAATAATTAATATTTTAACAGTTAAATGCATACTTTTATATACAAATAGCAAACACTCAAATAATTATTGAGTAGTCGTTTGTGGAGGCCAGGGCACCATCCAGAAATTGTTCTCAGGCGGATTTTAATTATCTTTTACGTATTTTTCTGTTTAAGTGCCCTAGCTGACCGATGTAAAAAAAAATCAAATTTTATGTTTTTAGGGTTTTGAACCACAGTAGACCTATCTTGTCTAAGTTGAGAGCTCAATTCAAACTAAAGTCTGATTGTCCGTTGTATAATATCTTTGGTATTATACTCACTTCTCTGACTCGAGTTTAAATCGCATGGTCTGGCCATGATACATTATATATACATGTATAATAAATGTATTTGAATTACATTAATCAACTTATCTTGTGATCGCATATTTTTAATCAACTGCTTAATTATCCTCTATAATTCGTTACTTAAATATAGCATGTTCAAGTGTTACTCGATCTTCCATCTTTCTACAACACCGCCGAGAGGAAAAATAATGTACCCAGAGTCTTCAACAGGGTTAAATTATCTGCAGCCTTTTTTTTCTCTCTTTCAATGTGTATAATAAAACATAAAAAATATATAAGAAATAACTGAATACAATATTCATAGTATGTAACAGGTGACAATATGTCTTTGTTTTTCTCTTCGTTCTAATTAAAAGTATTGATTTTCACAATGTTTATTTCAAAATGATAGACCGAACAGATTGATAATAATATTTAAAATGAGGCTCAAATCGGAGCTCAATCACTCTCCGATTGGAATACATCGGATATCTCCGTATATTTCCGGGGTTTCTCATTTCTTTCCTGTTCCTGCTATATCTTTGAGCAGTTTAAGAATCGCTGAATTTTACCTGCCGCAGAAATAACTTCCGAATTAAGACCACATTGAAATAAAACTTGTATTTAAAGGTCACCATTTTCTCAATACTTATTAAAACGTTTAGAAAATAAAAGTTAAAGATTTTTAGTTCTTTTTATTGATGTTAATGAATGATGCAGCGAAATCCCGCCGGAATGCGCCTCAGTCGCCGAAACGACGATTTCCCGTGTTCCACATTGTTTGGCAAATGAACATATAGTAGGCTTTTCACCTTTCTATAACTGTAATTTTGATAGTGGAAAATTTTTTTTTTTATATAATTTTATCGGTGGTTTTGTATTTGGTACCTTATAGTAAGCCTTAGAGTGTTGAATTATATTTTTTGCAGGGTTGTAGTAGGGGTCCAGGGGCAGATAGGGGTGGGGTGTCCAAACACTGATACTGCCACCTGTGATCACCTGCTGAAATTATTAAATGGATTTGTCATTAACAATTTTTGGGATATCAAGATGAAAAAGTTGTTCAGCCAACAGTAGTTATCGAGAAACTTTATCACTGGTGGCCAAATCTAATTCTGTTCGAGCGGTAAATCATATTGTTGCTGGGGTTCTCAATTGTATCATCTCGGCCCTTTCCGTCAAACTTCGGATTATTACGAATGATAGCCGAGATGTTCCGATTGCCATTCGTACATCATCGGGCTTTTTAAAAATACAATTAAGCAGCAGGTTATGGTTAAACACTTTCATCTAGACTTTTCATGTCTTAAAATTTCAAGTTGTAAGATAAAGGAAGGGATAACCTAGTGGTAGAGGTGTCCCCTCTCTCAACTCATGGATCGGTTCGAGTCATGCTAAATACACGACCATGTTTTCTCAGTATGATACCAGTTTTGGTTAGTTGCAGGTAGCGATATCGAGAGCGGTTAAAAAGCCTTCACAATCGATTTAAAAGAATAATAATCATTATTTAACACTAAGTCAGTTGTTAATCTTTAATTGTTTACGCCTTAATTAAATAGTCTAGAAGTTAAAATAAAGGCTTATAATGAACTGCGATGTTCCCCAGAAACTGTCATTGAATGCAACAAATATTATTTCATTGATTTTTGTATCCACTTCTAACTTTAATATGTGTATAGTCGGGCCTCTAAATAAACTATCAAGATGTTGCAAGCAAGAATTACTAAGTTATGTTCTTTGCTAGTCACACGTCATTTAATATTTCAACACGATAGTGTCTAGTTATTATTAAAGCGTTTTACTGAAGTAAAAATGGGCTACAAATTGGGAATCTTCATCCTTGGGCTTTGCCTGATTGCAACTTTGGATGTGTCAGAAGGTGAGTGGTATTATTTATTCATTTAATTTTAGTTTGTTACATAAGGAATTATTTAGAAACTACAACAAATATGATTTTTGTGACAGTGAAAATTTGTCTTTGTAATATTGTAAATGTCGCGCTGCAAAAATTTTACTTTTTTGAGACTTTTTAATTCTTGATTCTCAATAAGCAATTCTTTTTGTATTTTTCATATCCGATCAACACAACTTTTTTTAATCGTTAGAAATATCACAAAAATCGTGCCTGGACATGATACATAAATATGGTGCATACATTTTAGGTTATATATAAAAAAAACTAAGCATTTTCCGTGTAGCATGCTAGACTAAACGATTATTTTCTATGAATACCTAGAGGATATTTTCTAAAAATACAGAAATTATTTTCATCGAGTGGTATGAAAATAAATATTTCATGAGTGGCAGTAGCCACGAGGGGAAAAATGATAATTTTCATAAAACAATAATTTTTGTATATTGGCTGAATTGTGCTTAAATCGATGTATTAAAGGAACTCCACTGAGGTTTAGGGGCGTAAAAACATAAAATTTGAAAGTCAGCCAATATCAAGTGAAGAACATTAAATGGGAAATTCTGCAAAGGATAACAAAGAAATATATTCAGATTAGATTGAAAATCGATTTTATATGCGATTATTAGCCGGATTTTTTGGGAAAGTTTTGGGCTTTTTTCACAATAAAAATTATTATTCTGGAAAAACAAGATAAGGAAATGAATTAAAAATTTACCCATAAGTTATTGGATACAACCTTAATCAATTGGTACACAAATTTCTGAAAACTTTTTCAGACCTGTCATGTCAAAAAACCTCAGGGGTGTCCTTTTAAGTGTGTCAGCAATTCGTGGCTCTATCCGCCGTTTTGAATGTCCAGATTTGCGTTAATTCGAATATTTAACTTTGATTATTTTTTTTCTTTCAAATTAGGTTCAAAACGAGAAATTTCTTGTAAATGCATTGCAAGCCAGCATTGTGAGGGTGAACATTTATTCATATCCGAAGCAGATGCAGATTGCCCGGATGGAAAAGTTTACTGTTGTAAAAGACAACAAACACGAAAATAAGGTGACGATACTTGCCGTATATTCTGTTTTAAACTGATAAATAAAGTAAACCACTGCTAATGCATAACATCCACTTTGAATAGTATTCATAAAAGCTAGAATAAAACTGGGGGGCGTGAGTTCAAACCCCGGATGGGTTACTTTTTTTTTTCTTTTTTTCTTTTAACATTATTTATGTATCTCTCAGATCCCTTATGGAAGAAAAAAGTGTTTGATTTTAATTATATAATTATTGCAGGTATTTATATTCAAGTTAACAATGTACAAACGCTTATTTTTGTTTTATAAGAATAATTTACTTCTATTATTAGATGTCAAATGTGAAGTGTTATTTTTATTCCAGACACTGACTGGATGAGACAATAGCAAAATTTAACATTAGCTGACAAACATTATCAATTTTTTATCACTCTAACACGGTAATGATATCTTATGCAAACTTCTGTCCATTTATTTCAGGGACACGATCTCTAGAATGACACACTTTAGAAAGAGGAGACAAACGCCGATTGTGCATTAATTTGTGAAAAGAAAATTAAAATAAACGAATACTCAATCATGGATTTGCTTTACACTGTATATAAAACCATTTTTTAAAATTTCAATGCACCAAAAGAAAGTAAAACAGTACAAAAGAAGACAGAATAAATAAATAAGTCCAGCCCGCCCAGTTCACACTGCTAGCCCGCTACACTGTTAGCCCGCCCACTTCACACTGCTAGGAAATGTATCATGAGGTTTTTTTGTGGATTCAATTAAGTATTAAAGTTTAGCCCGCTGGCCCGCCAGCCCGCCCAGTTCACACTGCCAGCCCTCTACACTGTTAGCCCGCCCACTTCACACTGCCAGGTAATGTATCATAACGTTTTCATGTTGAATCAGTTAAGTTTGAGAGTTTAGCCCGCTGGCCCGCCAGCCCGCCCAGTTCACACTGTTAGCCCGCTACACTGTCAGCCCGCCCACTTCACACTGCTAGGAAATGTATCATGAGGTTTTCATGTTGATTTAAATAAGTATAAAGGTTTAGCCCGCCGGCCCGCCAGCCCGCTCAGTTCACACTGCTAGCCCGCAACACTGTTAGCCCGCCCACTTCACAATGCTAGGATATGTATCATAACGTTTTCATGTTGAATCAGTTAAGTTTTAGATTTAACCCGCTGGCCCGCCAGCCCGCCCAGTTCACACGGCTAGACCGCTAGACTGCTAGCCCGCCCAGTTCACACTGTTATCCCGCTAGACTGCTAGCCCGCCCAGTTCACACTGTTATCCCGCTAGACTGCTAGCCCGCCCAGTTCACACTGTTAACCCGCTAGACTGCTAGCCCGCCCAGTTCACACTGTTAGCCCGCTAGACTGCTAGCCCGTTACCCCGCGTACTTCACGGCCGTAAGAAGTATAAAGAGTTGAAAACTTAAGATAAGTTTCTGGAAACTCGCTTGATTTTTGGAAAAAAAAATAAATGATTTAAGAAATAGTTTTTAGTTTCTTAATTTCTTTATAAATAAGTATCCAATCAAAAGGTTAAGAAACCCTAACAAATATTGATGTACATGTATGATTTCTTGAAATCAGTACGGATAATGTAAGGTAAGATAAGATAAATGGTTGGAAGAAGATCTTTTCAAATATACATGTACTTTTACTTTACCCAACATATATATTTATATTTCATTTTAAAGCTACATTAAATAAAATACGTAAATATATTTTACTGTCGGTTTACGAACCAAGCATTCTATAGTTTCGTTAACATTTTTAACAGTATTGTTGTAAATATCATTATAAGATAATGGATAATAAGTACCAAATATCTATCTGATATGATTTGTTCTATAATTTACTGCATACATCACATGTACAGATACTATACGACAGAAAGAAAACCTGCATTTTAAGCAAATATGATACGGCACGCTGTTGACTGCGTCATGGTATTAGGGAGAACTGTTTAGATACACCCAAAGGCAGATCAAATTTCCACATTTATTTTAAAAGAATAGAGAAAAACGGAACCCCTAAAGGACACCCAAAACGACAGATTTTATCATGCTGTTGATCGATTTGATTAAGCCTGTTCATTACGGCAGTGACTAGTGCTAAACTACCATCCATGAACCCTGGCACCTGTATAATTATGCAAAATTTTAAAAGTTGAAATGATAAAATTTTGAATTAAAAGACATCCACAGGTTTATTTATAATGAGGTTGTCATGAAATGTAACATGAGAAAACAATGTGTGAAACTAAATAATATTATGATATAATATTATTAAGATTATGAAACCTTCATATCACAGACAAGCCGTGAGAAGACAAACTAAGGAAAAAGCGATATAACATTCGGGTGATAATACAGTATTCATGGAGGGAAAATAGAACCACGCAAATAGATCAAAAAGTTTTAAAAACATAACAATATACACTGTTACATTTTTTATGAACTATCTTTGAACGTACACCTCTAATTAGAATGTACGGGGACATTTTTATGGTCTTCATACGGCACATATTAAGCTGATAAGATAAACATAATCCTTGTTTTTTTTTAAATTTCGGCCTTGAAATGACTATAAAACAACATTTATTTATTTGCTTTCATATTTTTATCATATGTCAGCATCCGCGTTTTTGTTGTTGTTGTGTGCGTGCGTTCGTGTGTGTGTGTGTTTCTTCTTTTTTCATCACATTTTCTATAAGTACTAAAATTGAGCTCCCAATAAAAAATTGATATAAAAATTAGATTTAGAAAAACACTTGTTTCATCAATGGTTTATGAGCTAGTGAAATCATGTTATTAATAAGGGAACATCCAAACACTCGTGTCTTAGGAGCATTCAAGTGTATTTTAGCTGAACTTAGATATTTTTATAGTGCGCTTCAAACATGCACAGTGTAATAACGAAATGTAGATTCGAAATGAGGTTTGCTCGCACAAAACAAAAACCGTTCGTATACATAATTATTACACTCTACGAAGAACGACTTCAGCTTTGTAACGTGATAAAACTATGACATTTTATACAAAGTACTTCCTTTGGTTCAATATCTTTATTTGTTTTTAGTGTAGCATATAAGAATATCAGGACATATCAATTGCAGTATCTTCTAAGTACTGGTATTCTTGAATTGTTCTTTTACATAAATCAAACATACTTAAGATTATGATAATATCAATATATTTGTCATATGTTCCGCATGTAAGACTAGTCATGACTCTGATCCTCAAGTTTATTATCTCGTTATTAATAGAGTAAGCATGCATTCGACTAAAAATGATTAATCAAATAGAAGTAAAGTAAAACAGACATAATGTTACATTGTTTATCAATTTGAATGTTTACTTAAAATGACGGTTCATATGTTTTATCCTGATAACTGTTGATAGAGGTGTCAAACCCCTGGCAAAATTGGAAACTAAAATAAAGTGTAAAATTTCTTGCTTTTCACCACATCCGACATACAAAGTATCATTCAGGTAAAACGTTATTTACATAACCGAAATTTACAGACAAGAAAGAAACGATATCCTCCTCAGTACGTAATAAAATGGTCGGCTTTAAATGATTTCTTTTAAATGTTGTAGTTTCTCACAGTTTTTAAGAAAACTATTTGAACACTGGTTGTAAATAAATAACCATAATGTGATCAATAAATGTTTCCAGTCTGTAACATAATCATTTTCCATGTTAGGTAAGTAAGTCATATGTAGTTTTGCTATATAGTTATATAGCAAGTAGCTTCGATTCAAAATATTAGGTGTGTCACTGTAAAAAAGCGTAAGTAAGATTCAAAGGAAATGCAAGATTCAAAGAAAGCAAACCTTTAACCTAAAGGAAAATGCAAATATTTTGCAGTAACGCTGAATATACGTTAATGAAATTATATTACCCAATATGAATAAATTACCATTCTGAAATTTCCTTAAAAATGATATTCACATGCAATTCGTGTCCAAGATAAATGTTAATATAACATTTAGTAATCACTATACGGTATGAGAATTAGTATATAAACGTGTCTTGCTGTATGTTTCCATTGGCAGCTTCAACAGTCTTACTGTTAAGTTGGGGTTTTCACAACAAATAATAATGTTGGCAGCGCAGTTTTCTCTCGTATTATTGCTGGTAGTTGGGGCACAATGTGAGAGTGCTGAAAGATATATGGAGTATATTGTCGGCAGACACAACAACTTCAGACAAGGATGGTTCAACGGCAGAGAATGGGACAGAATGGTATGTTGTTTTGATTCTTACCTTCAATTATATCTATGTCGTTTTCTCACTGTTTCAACATAATGCAAAAATGGAATGCTTTAAGACTCATTTATAAAATAACGCAAATAGTACCAAGCATTCTCAGAAACATGCTTGATATGTTATAGGAATGGGACAGTTCTCTAGCAGAGGAGGCAGACAGACGTATGTCACAATGTAACATGGGGAACGGATATTACAGCCATGGTGAACACTATGCCTACTATAGCGGTGGCGATCATTACTACAATATACGTAGAACCTTTAACGATTGGTACAATGGAATGTCACAATTTGACTGGAGAAACAATGAAGGAAATTTCTATCAGGTATAAAAAACTATATGTACTTTGTATTTGTTCGACTTATGACTTTTAAATTTATTTAAACAATAATAAATCTCTAAATTAACAATGGATATATCAAATAACGATTGTCTGATTAAATAAAAAAAAACGCCACAATGTAGTTCACTTCTGTAAGTAAATAAATGAGTTGAATCAACTTAAATCTTGATCCATTTAAATTTATGTATGTTGCTATTCAGATGGATTGGTACAGAAGCCGTTCCGTCGGGTGTGCCATGAACTGGTGTCCTTCCTTTTATGCCAATGGTCAAAGCTACCAGAACATGTGGTTCTTCGGATGTTTTTACGATCAAATGTATGTGAAGTTTTTTAAAGTATTAGTAATTCTGATAAAAATCAAATCAGACTAAAAGTTAGATCTAATGTTTTACATATAGCGTCGTGTTATTTATGAACCGATTTGAATAAGATGATATTGTCATCAAGGCTTGGATAAATCTTTTTACTGTGTTTTCCTAAGTTTTTATATATCGCGTTATTATAAATGCCCTGTGTATTATCATCAGTACTATATTTGTATATGTAAACATTTGTCATCTTTAGAAATGCTGTTGGTACATTTGAATAGATATAAAGTGTTTGAAATCCAATATTAATATTGTTGAAGGGAATACAATGAAAATGAGAATGAAGAATTCTTTGGTAATAACAACTGGAATGGTAATGGTTTCAATAGTTGGTACGGAAACAATTGGAATAATGATGGTTTCAATAGTTGGAATGGAAACAATTGGAATGGTGATGGTTACAATAGTTGGTATGGAAACAATTGGAATGGTAATGGTTTCAATAGTTGGTATGGAAACGATTACATGAACAACGACTTCTATAACAATGGTTATTACATGAACTACAATAATGGGTATGGTTACGGTGATAACTTCTACAATGGCAATTATTACATGAACAACTACAACAACGGTTATGGCAACAATGACTACTACTGGAACAGGGGATATTACCAGAATGGAAACTACGGAAACAATTACTACAATAGAGGTTACTACATGGATAACTACTACAACAATAATGGTAATGGTTACTTCTACAACATGAATTATCCTTACTACAATAACTGGTACGGTAATGGTAATTACTACAACAGAGGTTACTACTGGAATGGTAATGACTACAACAATGACTACTACTATAACAGAGGTTACTACATGAACAACTACATGAACAACGGGTATGGAAATGACAACTTCTACTACAACCGTTATTACATGAACAACGATTTCAACAATGGCTATGACAATTTCTACAACAACATGGGATACAAAAGTAAGTTTGTCTTCGGGAATACAAAGAATTTGTATATACTGCATAATCAAAATGGTCTTTTTCATCAAAACATAACTTTATAGGTTTCATAGCCGACTAAGCCGAGACAAAAGGAACAGAACACTTAAATATAACGAAGTAAATACTGATTTTCTTGTTACATCCTTACTCTACTGGTTTCAAAAGCGATCAACATTAATATATGTATAGGCTAAAAAAATTGCTATTGAATATCACTTTAACTTTGATACACTTTTTAAATTCTAAGTAGGACAAAGCAATAACAAAAAGTAAGCTTGTTACGTGTTAACATTATATCATATCTTATATCATTGCAGAATGATACTAGGTGTTGTGCGAAATTGTCAAATGAGGTATGTGATTAACAGCGATCAATTTCAATTATAAGTTATAGAACATAGTTATTCGAATGTAAATACACATTTCATTTAAGGTATATGTCATTCTTGAAACTAGGGAGAGACAAGACATTTAAATAGGGAAAACCTATTTAAGCCAGACAGTTACTTCAACTATGGGAACATCTTTGAATATCCAAAAGGGACTTTTAACATTATCATTGTTTTTTCTATTGCTCCTAGAATGTCTATACCTTCAAAGTCGATTATTTTTTTTTTTTATTTTACGTATCTTGTTATAGTTTTCAAAAATTACTAACTTGCTCAATAGATTAACCAGCCTTTACGTTGGCAATAGATATACTCAAAGTGAAGGAGTATTTTGTATGGAAGTCAATTTTGTTTACATTTTGCTACTTTTATGATACAATACTGCACATTCAGCGCATTTTTTCAGTTGTTCAAACATCTAACATACTCTTAATCCATTGTTACAACATAATTAACGCATATTTGCCATTTCTAAAGATAAAATAATATGGATTTCTGAGGCAAAGTGTGTTTTTAAATGTTATAACATTATATATGTATTTTCCTTTTAATTTATCGTTACAGGAACTTATTGAAACTGGCCGGATACGGATACGGGAAAAGATTCTTATCTTTCATGAATATTCATGTTTTTATTTGCAATAAACGTTGAGCATTGACATTTGGTTTTGTTTTGTTTCTATTCATGGCAAAGATTAGTGGACGTGGCCATAAGAAGTACTATTTACGACAAAGGGTTAGAATGATAGATATAATATGTAATTATACGTTGTCCTAAGAAGTGATTTGACATTGAACTGAAAGTAAAACTAAAATTGGCATAACCAGTTACTTTGCACAAATGTTTGCAAAGATTATATTAATAAAAGCTCTAATAAAATAAAATTTCGAAGCTGTTAGAAAGTAGGACATTTCATAGTTACGTCAGCAAACAAACAGAAATCCTTTAAACAAGTTAAGGTACACATGCATGGATCTCGCACAAGGTATAAAGCTGGCAAAAATAACAAGAACAAATCACAGAAATAATTGTCAGGATTCTTGCAACACAACCACTTCAAAGTATACCTCATAGCCTTTCATCACGTTATATATTATTTACATCTGATGTCTCAGCATATATTATGTTATTGTTCTTTTAATGTCAGAGATTTGCAAGCTGGATTTTAAAAGGCCATACGACATAAGTTTACACCAAAAGGAAAGTTTCGCCCTAATGATGACATATTTTAACTTAATTATCACGCTTTTTATCAGTTTTCTTATTAATGAAATAAATAAAGGCTATTTATGTGATGATCTAGATTCCTGTTAAGTAATTAAATGGCAAATAAGTATTTAACTCTCAAAAACATTAAAATATGCGGAAAAAATATCTGTCAACGAAGAGATGATTATTCATTCATCTACATATTTTGTGTTAGTAAGTAATTTTAATAAATCATCAGATAATTGTGTGAATAAATATTACTAAAACGGACGGCAGTTTTCATCGCTTGATTTTGTCCACACACCGACGCACACTCGCTTTGTCCCTCCACCTTCAACTCTAAACCCAAGCACCGGTTTTGGTAAAATAAATCATTAAGATATGTAAACGGTGAATTAATGTAACTCAAGTTTAATCTGCAGCTCAAGACTTCTTTAAGGTTTTACATATTTATAACATAATATATAATGCAGACAAGGCTATCACTTTCTGTGAAAAGCCCGTGCGTTTATGATCCATGCTCTAAGATTAACATAATACGTGCACATAGAGTGGGGGGAATTTATATCGGCCTACCGTTGCGTAACGCCTCTATCACATCAGCCCTAAGGCAGCCGTACGAACGAATTTTGAAAAGAATCGCTTGGTTTTGTGCGGGAGCCGGAAGACGTTCGTACGAATGTTTTGAGGTCGTAAGCTTGCAGCAACGTTGCAGACTGTTTTCTTAACATGCACATTATTTCTGCGATTTTTTGACAGACTTTGTAAAGAACAGTATGAATCAATTCAAATGCTGTAAATGAAAAGTGCGCATGCATGAACATCATGTAGATGAGTTAGAATTAGCAAGTAATATGGCTGTAGCAGAAGCAATGCATGCGATAAAATTGCCCGTGGAACTCAGCAAGTGGAAGCAGAAAATGCCGAAGAAGACGCGGTAGAATCAGAAACATTTATCTATTTCAATCCAGATTGAGTAAGTGAACAAAGAGAATATGATATTGGCATAGAAATTGGATGTTCCATTTCATCTGTACAAATCAGTTCTTGATATTGGCATAGAAATTGGATGTTCCATTTCATCTGTACAAACCAGTTCTAATGAAAATATTTTACCAGATGAAGAGAACAGAGCTCTTCTGCGTTCGTTGAACTCAAAACAGAAAGAGTTTTACACGTTGTTCACTTGATAAAAACAAAAGATGCACCTTTGTATTCATTTCTTTCTGATCGATAGTGCTGGTGTTGGTAAATGTGTTGCTATAGAAACATTACATCAAACTCTATATAGAAAGTTTAATTTGAAAGAAGGAGAAAATACTGACGATATAAAAGTAATGTTGTCTGCATATACTGGAAATTTCGTCTGCATTCAAGCAGAAGTAAAAACAGTCCGACTAAACATTAACATGTGAGAGCCTAAATACTTTCATATCCAAATATCCATTTATCTGATGTCAAAATCGGTGAAATTTCAATGGTTAGTAATACTATGATGAGCTTCATAAATCAGAGGCTGCAAGAATTAAAAGACACTTGTAATCCATTTGGAGGTGTAAGCATTATTGCAGTTGGAGATTTATTCCAATTAAAACCTATAAATGGTGATTGGATATTTTAATGGTTTAAGTTGTGTTGCTGCATCTTTGTGTATGAATTGATGGAAAGAAGTGTTTGTTATTTATGAGTTATCAGAAGTAATGAGACAAAATGATGATTTCCAATTTACAGACTTATTATTAAACAGCGGATCCAATGCTAAATAAAAATTAACAAGTAAGCTCTCCACATTTATTTGGTGAAAACTACGAGTATTACATACATATTTTCAAGAACACATTTCTAAACAGTTCAAACAATAAAAAAGTGACCATTCATGACTTTATTGTTTCACCAAAATTATCAAAGGATAAACAAGAAGAGGCTATCAAAAGATTGTTCAAAGATCCAAACAGAACTGCTTATCATCATTGTTCATTGGACATTGTTGTATGTATGTTGTATGATTTAACTATCGAGATGGCCTTGCAAATGGTTCGTAATGTGTTGTAAAATTCATAGAGCATAAATTAAAGGAAACACAACGTCCTAGTATCATTTAGGTACAATTTAGTGATTTGAAAGCTGATTGTTGAACTAGATTAAAACATAAAAATTCGAGGCTTTTATCATGAACAAATATATGAAAATTGGACACCAACATTGGATATCGGAAAAACCTACACATAATATCAAAACACTTTTGAAAAAATCCAGTTTCCATTATAACCGTCTGCTGGGAGATCAGTTCATAGGGCACAAGGAACAACACTTGATATATATCCGAAAGGAAACACAAAAAGTTCCACACCTTCATTATGTTGCAAGTAGTAGAGTTAGGTCTTTAGGAAAGCTTCAAATTCTCAATTTTAATGAGCAGGCTTTACAAGTTGATGAACATGTTAAAACAGAAATGGAGAAATTGCTTAAAGATGTTTCTCTAGAATTGTGTTATGTTCCCTTGGAATATATGTGTGCGTGTGTTTGTGCGTGCCTGTGCGTGCGTGCGTGCGTGTGTTAGTGTGTGTGTGTGTTTTAAAGTTGCACTCAACAATAGTATGTCATTACTCAACAATAGTACATTTGTATGTCATTAAATGGGCGTTTCATTAATACGACACATGATCAGGGTTTTTTGTCTTGTGATATTATTGGATTGGCGGAAACTAGATTACTCGAAAACGATAATGATACTTCTGATCAGATACAGTGATACCATTTAATACGCAATGACCAGTGTAGTACATCAACATTTGAAAGACCTCCACGCGGATAACTAATTATTTATGTCAATGATGCATTAATAAAATCTGCAGGGTGCTTTAGCTCCCAGAATCTTGTATTTGTTCTTCCGAATATTGCAAGAGTGAAATGCAAATTTGGGGTATTATGATTATAAATAAAAAAGTGTTTTTTCTGCTTTTTGCACTGTGCAGACAGAGAAACTCTTTCCACGTTTGGTACATTAAAAGCCTCTAGTTATTCTGGGTGATTTTAACATATCGATGTTTTAAAATGCCATAGGAATGTTTTTCAGTGTTTGCATGATAAGATTAACTTATGATCACATCTCAATGATCCTACCATTGATTATCTATCTGCTTTAGACTTGATAATAACATGCCACTGTAGGTACAGTATAAACTTACTGGTCACGAGATTGTCTACTGCTGTTCTCAAAGAATCTCTATAAAATAAAATCCAAAGTGCTTACCTAGAAAACAACCTTTAGTTGTTATGCTTGTAAACCAGTTCTACTTTAAAAAAACCCTCCCAGGATTAAAAGGTATGTCATGCTGTAGTATAAACTTTGACCATCACCTAATTACACATACTTCCAGCAAGTCAGATGATCGATTCAGAGCCCCTCTTGTGTAATTTTGGATTTGTTACATGGAAGTGCAGTGGGAACTTGTGATACTCTGATCATAAAATTGTATTTCTCTGTGTGAATCCAAAATCTTTACACCTCAACGCCTATCTAGCCTACATTTGTAACGGGCTTTCGCCCAGATGTTTATATACATGTTACCATGTCAAATATATAGAGGATATTTGTTTAGTTTAGTGTAAGATCGGAATATATTTCACCGAGTGAGCACCAAAAGGTATATTTCACGAGTGGCGCAGCCACGAGTGAAATATGAACTTTTGGTGTTCACAAGGTGAAATATATTTCGATCTTACACTAAACTAAACAAATTTTCTTTTTATTATATGCAAAGAAACGTTTTAAAAAGACATTAAACCTAATACTGAATGAAAGCGCGCCAAATAATAATACAACGTGACGTCATTTACGACGTCACGTCATTAAGTTGGTACCCAGTACAGTGAACGCTGGTATTTCACTGAAACAACGTTAGGGGCTTAAATTCAAAACAGTGAAATTACCAAAGTGGTAATTTCACTGTTTCAAACAGTGAAATTACCAGTTTTATTTCACTGATATATTTCTATAAACCACCGAAAAGCATGTAATAAATAGATCTAGTTTGTAATTGTACAAGTTTTTTACATTTTTATTGCATTTGTTGTTACAGTGAAAAGTGTTTCCTTTTACAACAAACTCTACTCATTAATCTCATTGTATACATGTACTCACGGATTTATATTAATATAAATCCGTGATGTACTACCTTGTCCTTTCCTATTTGTTTTGTGCGGATAACATGGGTAGTAATTCTTTTCTAAAATGA